ACTGGCTTTGATTTAAACACATATTCATGAGGTATTACCAAGTAAAGCTCTTGACACCAGAAATCGCAAAGGATTATTTATGTCGGTGCATTAAAGGTAAAGCAATTTATGCTTCAATCGTTGCCAGAAATAAAGCCATTGATTTTCAGGAAATAAGTTGGAGAAAAGATTTAGAGAAGTACCACTGCCGGACACAGCACAAGTACAATTGGCAAGCTGAAGAATCTATTGAAGACTTGGCAGATAGAGTTATGCGGTTGTCTTTACGTTTATTTCCAGAGTTGCCAGAAGAGTACATGTCCCAACAAGCAGTGAAAAGAATTTGTCAGGGATGTGTTACTAAGGAAACAGATCAGTATGTCGTGAATCTAAACTTAGATTCCGAAGATCAAGTTATAAATAAAATCAAAAGCTTCCAGTTCAATCATCAGAGTATCTATGACAAGCCTAAAAAAGGTTCGTGAAATATATGCTTCTTCAGACCATGCAATTTCAAGTGAAGATGAGATATCCTCTGTCAAAGGTAGAAGATCAAAACAACCAAAGTCTTCTAACATGAGGAAAAGTAGAAAATGTTTACCCAGTGGAATGAACATTTGAAGCAGATGGGTGATATCAAAGATAGCATTTTTTTCATTACTACGGCATCAAGAGAAAATGCAACATCAGTCGACAAACATCTCGACAAAGAAACTTGTGAGTAGTAGATGCCCATCACCCAGCAATAGTAGATGTTTCCACTGCAATGATCTAGAACACTTCGCAAAAGGTTGTCCACAGAAGAATACGGTAAACAAACCTACTAAGACAGTACCATTTTCGTCACCTTTAAACGAGAAGGGAGTTCTTTTATTGAAAAGAAGGGTAACTCTATAAAAGCTGTAACTCATATAAAAATTGCTAGACGTACTGTAATTCCATTAAGTCAAATTATAACTTGCTCCTCTAGTATGTATCCTGGGTGCAGGTGTTCCTGTAATGTCAACAGAAAATTAGAATGTCGGTTAGGTTTATGAGATAGATTAGATATTTCCTATTGGAAAAATCGACCATAAAGATAATTTACAAACATCACAGGTAGAAACAACAGGAAACAGCCATCTTTCGAAACACCTAGAAGACATGTATCATAGTTCATGTTCAGAGTTGAATGAAAAGAGCAGAATGAATTAAGATGAAAGCTATAGGCATTATTATTATTTTTTATTATTTTTTGAAATATATAGGAATATATGGAGATAACGAACAGTATTCAAGCTCAAAAGTCCATTATACAATACAAAATAGGAGCAGAGCAAACACGGACCTCCAAACATCAGAGGTGGGATCAGGTGCCATGGAGGAGTGAGCATCCCCTGCCGACCGGTCACACCCGCCGTGTGCTCCTTGTCATGATCGGGAAATAACGGAAAAATCCGTCGACAATTCAGTATGTAAATAATGGCCTAACAATTAGTATGAAAAACGTCAGTCAGCATTTGACTCAATGATAAATTGTATTTGCTGACAAGGTCATTGTATCGACCATAGAACTTACGAAATGATGAATTTAAACGAGACAGCTGATATTCTTGTTTCATCAACTTATTTGTCAATAATTTACCTCGTTTTAGAAATTCTACATACGTAGAGCATGCTCTTGCGTATCGAATCAACTGAGAGATATATATGTTAATTATACATAATATATACTCCGTATGCAGGTGATGAAGGTATATTGCTGCATAAGTAAGGGAAGTTGACGATTGAAAAGTTAAAGTCATCACGTTTATCATAAAGCTTGGTTGTTAGATTAACATTAACGTCTTTTTCAAGTAAAATATCCAAATATGAAACAGATGTGTCAGACTCTGTGGTATCTTTTATCTCAAGTTCACCAGGATATATCGTATCGACATAAGAATGAAAATAGCCATTGTTAATTGACAATACGTCGTCGATATATCTAAATGTCGAGTTGAATGTCACAGCAAGTGTTTTCTTCTTTTCACGTACAAGATTTTGGACAAATTCTGCTTCATATGAATACAAAAAAATGTCTGCTAATAACGGGGCGCAATTGGTACCCATAGGAATTCCAATAGATTGTTGGAAGACCTGGTCTCCAAAAACCACATAGATATTGTCAATCAGAAACTCAAGCATCTTTTTAATGTCAACTTCAGAGTACTTGTGTGTACAATCAGAATGTTTTTGGACAAAATAATTTTGCAAATGACCAATGACAAGGTAAGTATATTTACGAGTTCCATTTTTATTGAAAAGGCAGCTGTCAATGATATCAAAAAGCCTGGACTTTAATTTATCGTGGGGAATGGTTGTGTATAAAGTTGAAAAGTCGTAAGTTTTTAAGCTGTTGATTTTGGTAAAATCTTGTGATTTCAAATATTCCAAAAGTTCCTTGGAATTTTTAAGTATCCACATCTGATTTACACCACTTCTCGAATATATTGTTGCACAGTACTCTTGAAGTTTCTCCTTCACCACTGTTAATATCTTAGTGAGGAGTAAAGATAGAGGCTTGGTTGAACATTTACTGGAACCCGCTATGTATCTTTGTTTGTTAGGATTTTGTAAGAAAAAATCGTTAAAAATCTTCTTCTCATGAACCACTGGGCCAGAAAAGCTGAAACTTAAGTGGAAGCATCCTGGAGTAGCGTAGATTCTAAATTATTCATAAAATCATGACCCGTGGGAAAGGGCGGCGCCACAATAGGTATTACAGGGGGGGGGGGGAATCGGGTGAAAAACAGCAATGCCAAAGTTACTCGGGTGAGCGTTGTGGCCCATGGGCCTCTTGTTTAAATATTGACATTTCTAAGTATGAAACAATAATAATAATGATACCATCTCTTTAATATTAAATTTTTTTATCCATTTTCCTTAACTTTTCACAAAAATCAAGGTTTAAAACATAACATCAGCTTAACAAGACATTAAAGCATATTTACACATATCCAAACGTCATTATCGGGGTACCAATAACATGCATCTCTGCAGAATTCTAAAACACCAAGCCAGTTTTTCACAAATACTTTTAAATCAGCCTTTTTAAATAATTTTGGTAAGAATATTACATTGAAATCTTAAAAACATCTAATGGGAAAAGTAAGGACTGTGCATGACAGTAGTAATTTGGGTTTGCAATACGATATCAAACGAGTATGGCTTCACCTTAAGTATTAAGTCACATGTATTCAAAAAACAACAGCTGTCTTACAAAGTTGTTTGCAAGATTACAAGGCTTTTTTAAAACGGTCCTTGGATACAGCGATTTATTTCAGTTATACTTGAAATATTGAGGTCATTCATAATTTTCAGTTGTGCATGGGCATAACCAAGTTAGATTTCAAAATTTAGTTTTAAAATATGTTAAAAAACCCATCAATATATGAGGAAAATGCTGCTATTCTTTATAGATTGTATTTTTGCTTAGTTATAATCATATTTTATGTCTACATGGTGAATTTGTTGCTGGTCAACTACAATATACATGCAAATACTTAATTCGTTTTCGAGATTTCACTAGAATCGTAGCACTTTTCAAATAGCTTAATATTTTTTCAAGTGTTTATGTGTAAAAGCTTGCAATGATCATTTGAGTCTATGCCCATGCACTAGAATAAATAATAAAGACACTTTCATTATCTTTCAAATTAAATTAGGATATGCGCAAAAAATATGAGTAAATCATTAAAAAAAACATTGTACTCAAGTTAATTGCGTCTTAAATATCTGCAAATAGTATAATTTTATTTATAGAGGGATTTTCTCTTATTATTTTATTAAAAATTAATGATATTTATACACATTCAAAAAGACAATATCACTAAGCAAATGTATCAATAAGAATAAATTTGATAGTTTTATTTTAGGAGCAAGGTCAGATGAAGGTTATAATCTTTTTTTCTTGAATGAAGAATTAAAAAAAATTACCGTTGCCAGTCATTTGATACCTTTTTCCATTTTAAAAGATTAAATGCTTTTTTTGGCATAGAAAAGATTTCACCATATAAGGTCTATCAGAAGATACTACCAAATTTAGATAAATAATTTAGCTCAAATAGATATTGGCTATTCCATATCCGAATTTTTCTATTTTTCTTACGTTTTAAGAGATATACATCTAAAATTTCAATTTGTCTTATTTTCACATATAGTGAAGCAGTCATATCAAAATAGAAATTTGAAACAAAATTTAAAAAATGAAAAAGAAAAAAACAAGATTTGGCCGTTTAGTCAGGGAGGAAAAAACACCATTTACTGATGTTTTGCTCAATTCTTTCCTTATAAGATTTAAGGCTTTTAAAGGATAATAAGTTTGTAGTTTAAGAAAACTAAATTATTTCATATATTTTAAAACGTAAGTCCATAGTTTGTATAAAATACATTTTATCAGTTTGAAAATAACACTTATTCTGCCTTTCACTGCATACAAAATACATCAAAATTTACAAAATGAGGCCATATCCGCAAGTGCATGGCGATCAGAGATTTGTTTATACCGTGCTAAATGGGATTTTACTAACGATTAAACAGCGCATTATGATAAAGTTTAATTTGGTTGAATTATTACTTAGTACAGTTTAAACCCGCATTTATTTCTTTTTAAAGTAAATAGAATTTGAAGATTTGTACGATGTCATAATTAACATTTACCCTATAAATTAGGCCCCGCTCCTTTTTGTAGACTTAACTGTACTGCGAAGATGAAATAAATGTATTTGTTGAATGTTAGCCAGTGTTATATTGGCTCACTACAAGTGATAAAAATTTGGGGAGAAAAATCAGGTGCAACTACTAAAAATTCATACATGCAGTGGTTTACATTGACAAGTATATTCAATTGGGAACTCTTATTTTGGTTTATGTGGAAACGTTGTCCTTTATGGCATTAAATCGTATCTTTATAAAACCTTTCAGATACAAAGTCTCTTTTGAAAAAAAAACAAAAACCAATATTTGATTTTTTTTAAAGTCTCCTATTAAATTATACTTACCGTTGTAAGTCTTCTTGTAGTCATTATGACCTTTGGCAGGGTTTGCGCTCTTATATTCCCGTACCCTAATCGTTACAGACTTATATTGCATAACATCCTCCACTGTATACTGGTCATCATAAACCGACATCCATAGACTGGATTGAGAATCCTTAGTAATGATTATCTCATTACGAATTGTCGAAACATTGGTCCATTTGAATATCAGCCTCCCATTTGAAAACTCTGCTGATATATAAACTTTTTGTCCTAAAATAAAACAAACTTCTTTTCATTTTAATTTTTCTTATCAAAGAAAAATTGGAATTTAATCGCCAAAACATTAAATTCGGCGTACCTGTCTGGTGAATATCGCAATGTAATCTTACTGTGTGCATTTTAAATAGTCACTCTAATTAAAAAAATTCAAGAAAGGAATTAAAATACCTGAAAGAATTTAAAAGTCGACAAAAGAAAGAGAGCTAAAAGCAGGAAAAGCACATAGATGAAGCTATATTAATTTAGGAAATGGAAGGTTTAATTTGTTCTTAAGTTTTTTATACTATGCATATCAAAATACATATTGCAGACTTTAAAAGATTTAGTGAACGTCAAACAGACTCAGTCGTACAGTTATTAATAATTTGCAAAGAGGATTTCCTATAGATTATTTAGTTAACTTTATATTTTAGCTCCCTTCTGCCCCACGAAGCTAGATTTGTCGTAATTAACTTAACTCATCACAATATAGAGTTCCTATTATTAGGCCTCTGAACTTAATCAATTTCAGACCTATTTTAGACCTATTTATTTTCTTTTGAAAATAAGATGGTGAATTATTTATATATGTGTCAGTTGAAAGACCTCTACCTCTGTTATCACCCCCAATCCCCCAAGTTATTCTTACAATAATTCTACTTAAATTACTGGGGAAAAAGTTTTAATAATTTTTCTATCACTTTTTAAAATGCGTATGTTTGCTATGTCATTCACAAATAATATTTACTCCTTTACAGAGGAATTTCTGTTACATATATCAGAATGGTTCTCATATAAAATAGAATTCCCTGATCTGAAGCTTGTGAAAAGGCAAGATTGGAGATGCCCTGTGACCGTGAGGGGATACAAATTCCCCTGATCATAGACAAAAAGAAACTGTTACCCATAAGGTTTTTTATATTATCATATTAAAGCCTTTGATTATGATTTCAATGGAACAAGTGTAAATGATATTTCTTAAACAATAATGAACTGTATTTAAAAAAGTAAATACGAGGTTTGTTCGGAAAGTTTTTGGACTATGTCAATCTTCGTTATCTTCAAAAAATTTAAACTGAACATAATATATGTAAAAATATCTATTTTGTTGATTTGTGAAGTTTCATTCCATGGAATTTGATAGAAGTCGTGCTGTTTATTTTTAAAATCAACATGTTTTGTTACCACGGAGCAAACTCAACAACATTGTAACATTGTAACGTCAAAAACATAGCGTCATCTCCTATACAATTCTTACTATGGTCCAATACCAGTGCACTAATTAAATACCTTTATTTATCACTTGAAATTCTTACACTTGCATTATTTTTTTTGTCAATATTATATTTTTTTACTGTACTTTCACAATATTAATACCTGTGAAGCGCCTAACTCTTACGATGACCTAACTAACTTTTCTTTAACGTTTTAATGAGATTTTAACAGATAATCCCTTATCTCACAGATTGTCCTCGTTTAATACAAAATATCTATCATTCAAATACCGCCTGTGCCATATAATAACTCGGGCATGACTCGCTTTTGACATATTTCGTGCTTCCTCCAGCATTTTTAGATTTTTTTCTGGGATTTTCCAGAGTACAAACCTAAATTGTATCGTTATCTGGTGCTCCGTGACGTTCTACGACGATATCTTTTTAGCCCATTTCAATGACTACTGCTTATCTTCTGAAATCGATTTCTTTCAACGAAGCAAAATATTAAGTCACAATTTGGAATATGAAACGATGTAACAATTCTTAATATGTACGTCTAGAAATTTTCTGTTTTTGCGCAATTTTACATAGGAGACAATTGCAGACATTATTTGGTTTATAAATTGTAAATAACGAACTTTTGACCTGCTCCGCGACCCGATTCTCGACTTTTAAAAATCTTTATGAGTTTTAAATAAATCACGATATTTAAAAAAAAATCAATACATGACATCTGAATATTGTTGAAACGTTGATACCAAATTTGGACATAATATAACGTTAAGTAAAAAAAAAGTTATAATAATAGTCCACGAACTTTCCGAACAACCATCGTACGTGAGATATTTTTAACCTATTCTATACAATTAAAGATGGAAAGGATCTTTCACGCGGGGTTTTGATGGGTGTGTATTGTGGCCGTTTGAGTATATTGGTAACATGCTAATTCAGAGAATTTGTGTCCCCCGCTTAGGGTCAAAAAAGGAGAGCATGCGCAGTTGGGGGAGGGGTCGGACCCCCTCCCCCCCTTGGATTTGTAGAATTATAAATGTGTACATGTATACTGAAGCAAATAAAAAATGCCAATATGGATATATAGATTTGATTGCTTATTCTTTAATATGTGTATAGAAGATTCTATTTATAAGAATATTTATCACACTGTAATAATAAATTTATGAGTTTGTACACGCCAGATGTCATAACTTTTTCATTTCACATATTGAATGCTACAATTTAGTAAATCAAAAAAAAAAATTAACAAAAGAAGGATCGACCGGGATTTAAACCCGGGACCTCTCACATGCTAAGTAAGAATCATACCCCTAAATTAATGGTGTATAATATAGCCTTTACTAACCGGTTCCAATAGATGTAATTAGAATATAAAGTCCGCCCACAACCTGTATTATACGTAATAACTCTCCACATGCTCCTGCGCTAAAAATAGTGCCAAGCGACTTTTAATAAAATAAAAATTAAAAAAAAAACGGGGCGGGACACTTTGAGAGGGGCAAGAAAGGCCATAGCGAGTTATGGTATAAATTCCATTGCAAAAGCTCAAAAGCTTTTTGATATATAGCCCGGAAACGAAAGTGATACACACAGACGGAATGTATGAATTTACGACCTTGAACTTTGACCCTTTTACCTCAAAATCAATAGGGGTCTTCTTTAGGCAACAGGGAGTTGTTATGTAAAATTTCATTACAGAAGCTTAAAGGATTCTCGAGATATCGCGCGGAAACGAAAGTGTTAAATAGACAGAATTTATGGATTTATGACCTTGACCTTTTGACCTCAAAATCAATAGGTTTCTTCTTTAGGCCATAGGGAGTTGCATGCAAAATTTCATTGCGAAAGCTCAAAGGGTTCTTAAGATATCGCTGGGAAACGAAAGTGTTACAGACAGAAATACAGACGGACGGATGGACAGACGGGCGGATGGATGGACAGACAGTCCCAAATATTAAGTGAAAGCGTGGGACAACAAAAATAATGCACCAGTTGTACATTGGTCATGCAATAAGATTTGCCAAATTGTCTGACCGGCTTTTTAATATTTATGCAATTCTTTCAAACTCCCTTAAACACAATTTCACATAGTACTTACGTAGATTGTAAATAGATACGACACATAAATAACCCATCTTACCATTTGCACAACATAACATTCCTATGAATAATAGCAGGTCCATTCGAGTGAATTCAATCATTCTTCTTTCAGATAACAAAGACACTATTAATTATTGCACATTTGACGCTGCTCAGAATTAATGTCAACAACAGTCTTTGTGATGTATTTAAAACAATTTCCTCTCCTTCTCTGTTCCTTACTTTTATAACATTAAATCGTATAAACCAGGAAGAATTAGTTAAACTGCATTGTAGTTCACTTTCATTTCTACGGAAGTGTTTTAGATTCATCTATTTCTGCTACATTTATAGTGTTGATATGACTTAATTGTATTTATTTGCATGCATTTCTTTTATGCTGCTGCTTATTTTTATGACTCTCTCTCTCTCTCTCTCTTGTGAAATTATATATTCACAGACAAAAGTGTTTTTTTAACGTAACAGTAATCTGTTGAAAATACACTTTTCAAAATGGAGTATTAGATATTTAACACCCGTTATGTTAAGTATTTTAAATAACCATGAAAATTTATCATTTCATCAGCCTTTTAACATATTTTTACCAAGTGCAAGCGAATGCATATATGAAACAATAATCCAAAAATGAGATTTAGGAAAGTAGAAGATTTTATTTTTAATTTTTACTTCTGTTGGATATTAAGAAAATGTAGCTGCATATTACCAGCTTAAAAACATTGAACAATTGTTGACTGACTTTGTTCGGTGAATTTTGAAATATGCTGTCTCTTGCTCTTGGACTCTAAACTTGTTTTCCATATATTCCATTATAAAGTTATGATTTTGGTTCTCCTCTGGTTTTGATTTTATACATACCCTTTTATTGAAATAGATAGGTTGAAAGATAGTTAAAGATATTTCCCAATTAATCTTATGTGTATAAATTTAATCCCCTGTTGAGACCAATCCTAGCTACTCCCAGAGTTTATGATTTGAACAATCTTGAATCTACACGAGGATGTTTCAAAATAAATATGACTTCATGCATGGCTTTTTTGTTCTTCGTAAGATTTTTTTTTAAATATCAATGTATTCTTACGTATAACTTTGATTCCCTTTTCTGGCACCACTCTAATCCCGGGGATAATTATTTAATAAATATTAAATACTTTCGGTTCTATTTTAATTACATTCCTGGGTGCATCCCTGGAATTGTTGTTGTTAACAATTGTGGTACTTGGTTCTTGTATCTTTGGCCTTGGTTCATTTTGCCTCCTCCTAAAAAATAATTGCGTACCCCTCTTCCAATATACGTAGTTCTTTCGCTTCTGTAAAAGTTTAGTGGACGCCTACTTCTAACATATCCTCGGTAATTTTCATTTTGTCTGTTATTGTCCTGATTCCGCCTTTTTATGCCTTTGTGGTACCTAAGAATCTGTTGATAATGTGACTACGTTACAGAAGGGACGAGTTATAATTTTAACGGGCGTGAATTTAAAGTTAATGCCAACATGTCATGTGATACGAAAGATGTCATATACGCCATCACATGTCCTGGATGCAAAGAATATTATATTGGTGAAACTGGCAACACTCTCCGTGCCCGTGTACGTGTACATTAGCAACACATCAGTACACCTGAATATAGACAAATCCAGCTAAGTGCACACCTGGAAACTTGTGGAAAAAAACGATTTAACATTTTCCCTTTTTATAAACTCAGATGTGCCAGTGATATCCAGAGACGGGAAAAAGAAAAACATTTTATTTGTATTCTAAAGCCAAAACTTAATAGTCTCTTATAAACTACCTATAATTTTCCCGAACTT